TTCTTACTTCTCGGGCTGATTAGTTAGAGTACTTAATTACTTAGCTTAATTAATTCCATAGTGTAACTACTTAGTTAGTTCTTTGTATTATTATAATTGTGTTGTAATTAATTAGTTAAATTAATTCCATAGTGTAACTACTTAGTTAGTTCTTTGTATTATTATAATTGTGTTGTAATTAATTAGTTAAAGTAGCTAGTTAATTTTGTGTTGTAATTATTTTATTAGTTAAATAGTTTAGCTAATTCATTTATTCGAACCCTCTTGTGCGAAGGCCAATTTGTTATAATTAGCTAGTGTATTTAATTCATTCTATCTGGTTTTTAATAGCTAGTTAAGTAGCTTAAATTAGCTAGTCCATTCATTCGGACCCTCTTGTGCGAGGACCAATATGTAATAATGTGTATGTCTTCCAACCCCACGTATTTCTTCTTTTTATTTACCTGCTTATGATGGATAGTGTAGAGCATCATATTTCGTTTAGCATTTTCCATGCATAAAGCATTCATTTGTCTTGCATGCATTAGGCTCGGCGCATCATTCTAACTCACATTGTTATTTATTACTTATTTGAAAATGTGCTCAAAATGCATGCTATCAAGTTGATTCCCATGTCATAACTAGTAACCAAGCCTATTAATTGTATATCGCATGTATTGCATTAGTCATTTGCATAGTTAGAGCGTGCATTTTTCTAACTCTTTTCTTTTGGCTTGTCATGGAATACTAGGTGAGCACTTATTGCTTTAGCATATCGCATGCATGTGATTGTTTCCATGTCAAGCATGATACCATAAGGCTAAGTGCTTAAGTGATATACCTGTTTGAATTCCTGTGGATGAAGGCTAATTGCTTGAATTAGAATGATTTGATTAATGTGTATATGAACTCACTTTTTCAAGTGGTACATATTCAAAACAATTTTCAAACAAACATGAAATCAAAACATTCCAAATTTTGCAAATTAGTCTATACTTGTGTGCATCACCTAGTAAGTTAGCCTAATAATCGGAACAAGAGCATATAATGTAAATAAAAATCACATCATGATTAGTAAAGGCCGATCTTTGATAGGGCGAGTAGGGTGCTCAATTTATGACATTCCCCTCTCGTACCTAAGTTCCTTAGCCGAGACACTTTGGTGATGACGGATAAATGGCCTTTGGCACGAGTCTCGGGTTTCCTAAATTTTTCAAAAACATTTAGGTAGTAAAGGCCGATCTTTGATAGGGCGAGTGGGGTGCTCAATTTATGACATTCCCCTCTCATACCTAAGTTCCTTAGCCGAGACACTTTGGTGATGACGGATAAGTGGCCTTTGGCACGAGTCTCGGGTTTCCTAAATTTTTCAAAAACATTTAGGTGGCGACTCTGTAATCTGGCAAAGCAGTCCATTTTTGACATTTTTGATTCAAAATCGATTTTTCAAAAGATTTTTCGGATTTGGACTCTTTTGTATTTATCTATTTCACATTGCACTTGTGAGATTAGATTCAAAACCACGGGGGTTCGAACTGTAGGGCTATCGTATCTGAAAAGAGCACGAAAAGCATAGCTAGACATATGTATGCAAACAACTTTAAAAAATAAATTCCAATGTTCGATGTTATCCTATTCAATGCAAACAAGATGAGCAGTACACAAACAACTTAAAATAATAAATTCCAATGTTGAATATTATCTTATTCAATGCAAACAAAATGGATAGTGCACAAACAACTTAAAATAATAAATTTCAATGTTCAATGTTATTCTATTCAATGCAAACATAATGGCCAGTATACAAACAACTTAAAATAATAAATTCCAATGTTATCCTGTTCATTGCAGTCCTGTTCGTAATGGGGTAAACATAAACCTTTTCAATGTTATCCTGTTCCTAATGGGTTTTGCAAACAGCAACATAAATCGTGGGTTTAGTCCAAGAACCAAATCCAATAGGCTCCTCAATAGCATCTCTAAATGCTTTAACTCATGAGTGATACAAGCTAGGGACAAACACATCATTACCATGATGGAGATGATAAGAAGGGCTTTGATGGTAAGGATACATGAATGTAGGGACAACATGTTGAAGTACAAAGAGCCCATTTGTGGAAAGATAAAACGCAAAGTTGAAAAATGAAGCTGAAGTCCAGAGTATGGACACCTACATAGTCAGGAGGTGCTGAGTTTGAAGTCAGACATGGAGGGGATAGGTATGTTGTGAACTTAGAGAATAGGACATGCACATGCTTGAAATGGGACCTCACTGGAATCCCTTGTCCCCATGGGGTAGCTGCTATATTTTTTCAAAATGAGAGGGTTGAAGATTATGTTCATGCATATTTCAAGAAGGAAACTTGTTTGAGAACTTATAAGGCATTGATTAATCCAATGAATGGGCCAGATTTGTGGCCTAAAATAGGGTGTGACCCTCTTCTACCTCCTAAGCTTAAAAGACCAACTGGTAGGCCTTCCAAACATAGAGTTAGGGACCCAGATGAACCTAAGAATCCATACAAGTTACAGAGGAGGCAGTCTACCTTGAATTGCTCTAAATGTGGTTGTTATGGTCATAATCAAAGAACTTACAAGGGTCTACTGAAAGGAAAGACAAATGGACCTTCTGGGAAATCCAATAGTAATGTAAGTATTCCATTGAATGAAAGTAAATAAACATTATGTTAGTAATAAATTATTAATGTTACTAATTACAAACTTCTTTTGCAAACATTCATGGGCTTTAGGACAGCTGCATTATTTGGGGAAGAGGGGAGCAGCCAAGCACAAGCTGATGGTTGGCAATCTAGGAAAAGGTCAACAGCAGTAAGTGGTGTTGAAGAATCAACTGATGGGCAACCAAGGAAGATGACAAGATCAACAGCAACAAACATTGGCAACAAGCAAGCAATGGGCAGCCAGTGCAGTGTGAACAAGTGGTTTTGAACACTTTTGTAATTAAAATAGGGTTTTTGCAATATTCATCGGGTTTTTGAAATGTTCATGGTTTATCTTACCTTACTCACCACTTTTATAATTAAAATAGGCTTTTGGAACAATTATGTTGTACATATGGGTTATGAAACCTTAAACAATGCTTGTATGGTTATTAGCCTTCAATGGTTGAATGGTTGAAACCCCAATGTTTGGTTGGCTTGAATTATGTTCTAAGTTCATTCATGAAAATAACAGGTTCTTATGCTTATGTCAAACCAGGTTTCATATGCTTCTTTGGTTGGCTTGCTTTGTTATGGTTGTTATGGTTATGTGAAACCAGGTTTTATATGCTTGTATGGTTATCAATTTTGACCATGCTTGTATTGTACATGAATGATAAAACCATTGCACCATGCTGAAGCTAGGGACAAACCATTACAAAACCATTCAAACCATTACAAAACCATTGCACCATTACAAAACAAAATCATTTCACAAACCATTTCAAACCAAACATTTTATTTACATTTGACCATTACAAAACAACAACAATGCACAAAGCATTTCCCCATTACAAACCAAACACAATTGACATTGCCATTGTTCAACAAAAGCATTGCCATTACAAAACACATTGTGGAAGTAATGTACCCAGCCAAAACACATATTATCAATTACATAGCAAGCCTAAACACTATTTTGGAGTACAAATAGTCCATTTATAAGCAATGTAGCAATCAAGGCAATGACAAGCCACTTCTGTCATACACGATAACGTTGAACAACATCGCATGATTGTGCAACCTCATTCTTCTAGTGTTGCAGCCTTATCCACCAACTTCGGCAACACTTGTCTACCACGAGCACATGTGGGTGGATTGTACCAGGAAAAGTAACCACTAGCCCCATTTTTCTATAATTGCAATCAAACATAAACAAATGAGCAATTGTTTTTGGGGGATAAGTGGTTGAAAACTTCACATGGCTACAAGTACACATCAGAATCTGTTTTGTTTGATTCAAAGTGGGGAACAATTGCAAAGTTTGTCAATCTTCCTCTTATTGATGAGTCCTTCTATGGCAATGACATTTATTTGTACAAAGATCAACTAAAGATGCTTGGCGTTGTGGTTGATTTTAGTGAAGGAGCTCATTTTGTAGCACGAGGTCTGTGTTTGCCAAAAGAACCTTCATTGTTAACAGCTGATAGCGCACTCTCACTGTTGCAATGTGTCAAGTCTCTGAGAATGAACTCATCCAGCTTGTTTTTACTCAAAGATTTGGTCGACAAACTTAGGGGAAGCAAATGGATGAAAACCCACATAGGCTATAGATATCCAGAGGAATCCCTTCTATTTGATCCAGAATGGACATGTTACCTTGAAAAATTTGATGCACCCTTCATTGATGAATGCTTCTACAAAAATTTCCCTTCTCTATCTATGGAAGACCTGAAAGCTGTGGGTGTCAAAGTAGATATCGAGGAGGCTTGCAAACTCATTTCCCGGATTCTCAACTCACATACTCAAACTTGTGTGATAATGAGAATATACAAGTTCCTCAATAGGTTCAAATGGATTCAAAGGGTACCCGACCCTAGCCTTCAAATATGGATCCCCGATCCACTTGATCACAGTTGTGGAACGTGGGTGAATTCTCGCAACTGTGTGATCCATGATAGGGACAGCCTTTTTGGCTCACGGTTGCATGCTCTTGACAAGTATTATGAATCTGAATTGTCATCTTTTCTCAGAGTGGCTTTCAGAGTTGCAGAATTTCCTTGTCTTGGTGATTATGTGAAGTTATGGAATCACTGGGTGAGCAGTCATCATGAAATGAGTCAAGCAGAGTGCAGTTCCTTCTGGAAGTACATATCAGAAAATTGGAACTCAGTCACTGAGGAGATTCTTAAAACAAGCATAACCATGCTTCCTGCCTGCTGTCCTCGTGGGGAGACTGTCCAAATCCGACTGATGCAGAAGAATGAAATACTTATCCCAGATGATTTGCAGCTCAGAAGGTTGTTCGCAAATTCGAGTGTGAAGCCAATATTCACATGGTATCCACAGTCTGACTTTTTTTTGGGCAGAATGCGGAAGACAATGAGTACTTGCCTGGGGTTGAGCCAACGCTGGAGTTTGTGGTTACTAGTGTGGACATAACTGGGTTTGGTGCTCCAGCAACTCTCTTGGTTTTTAACAATGAGATTGGGTTCTCTGCGAAGAATATGGAGTCTATTTGCAGCGTTGGTCGGTCCACTAAGAAGGGTCTCAGGGACAAAGGCTTTATTGGTGAAAAAGGTTTGATATGCTGAGAGCTTTTGATCCCTTGTTTATTGTCCGTGTTTCTTTTTGTTTCATTAATTTCTAGGTTCTGTTACCCTCGGTTTGTTACTATTCTGTTTGGTTGATCAGAAAAGAAAACCAAAGAAAAGAGAACAACTTAAAAAGAAAGAAAGTTTGGGACTCATTTTTCTTTTGGGGAAAAATAAATTAGAAAACATGTCCTGAGGTAACCAAAAGCGGGATAGTAAAGATTTGTGGAGTTCTCTTCATTTTTTTCTACCAAACAGATAATTGAATCTGTTCACCTGGTGTTTTGATCATTGACCACCTGACAATGTTGGCATTGGCAGTATATTAGTGGCTTCTTGCTAGGAGGCGTCATTTGCGTATAAAGTTGTGGTTCAAAATCCTTACGTATGTGCATCATCCAATTTTTATTTTTATTTTTTTTGTTTTTTTGAATGTTTGATAGTTTGTGTGAAAGTTCTATGAGGCGGCTCTTACAGGCACCGAGTATGTTCCCAACTAATTACCTTGTCAAATCCTGCCTGTCACTGTAAATCATCTAATTGGTGCTCAATTTTGAAAATGCCCTTATGCTAGTTTTCTGATACATACCTCTCTCTCTGAAATTACTACCTGTTTTGATTTTTCTGCCATTGATATACTGAATGGGACTTGTTAAATGTTGGGTCCTGAACCTTTATTTGATGCAGAATTGGCCAATTGGACCCTTTTTCTACAAGTTTCTAAACCTATTGAATTTTTGGATCGTGGTCTTTATCAGCATTGTTGTATGCGTAGTCAGGGTTATGTGTATTGTGTGCTCTTCAACAGTCTGACATTTGTGTTAAATATGAGAAGAATGCACCCGCTCTGCTACAAGTGAATACTTCTTAGGCATAGTTCTCTATATTTTCGTCTTAAAGATCCTCACACTACAATTATAAATTGCTCTTTATCAACTCTTCCTTTTCTTTTTTTCCCTTTTCTTTTTTTGCAGGAATCGGATTTAAGAGTGTGTTTCTTGTCACTGCATGGCCTCACATATTTAGCAATGGCTACCAAGTCAGATTCAACGAGATGCCCAACAAAGATTGTGGTGTTGGCTATGTTGTGCCAGAGTGGATTGATGATAAACCAACTGTTTCAGATATTCAACAAATTTATGGAAACAGGAAGGTCCTTCCAAAAACAACTATCATCCTTCCTCTAAAACCTGAGAAAGTGGCAGCTGTGAGAAAACAGCTCTCTGAGGTTCACCCTGAAATTCTGCTCTTCTTATGCAAGATAAAACGACTCTCAATCCAAGAACACAGTGGTGAATCCCCTGCAATGGACCCGGTCTCTGCCATATCTATGTCCAGTGAAACTAATCTCACTTCATCTACGAGCCAAGGGGCAGATTCCCGCATAGTTAATCTTTCTGTTAAAGGAACAGATTTTGATAAGGCTACGTGTTGCTACTATATATGGAGACAAGCATTCCCTGTGAATGCCAAAAGTCAGGTGAGTGGAAGGAAGGATACAAAGGAATGGGTGATATCTCTGGCTTTCCCATCTGGGGATAGACTGAAGAGAGGGGCGACTTCTGTTGGGATATTTGCTTTCCTGCCAACTGCTATGGTTACCAACTACCCATTCATAGTGCAGGCAGATTTCAAGCTTGCATCTTCAAGAGAGACCATACTCTTGGATAACAAGTGGAATTTGGGAATCTTAGACCTCGTACCTTCGTGTTTTGTCAATGCTCTTATGACTTGTATGAAGTCAGCAAAAGCTTGCCGGTTGTTTTCCACTCCTCAATTTCTTGAATTCTTGCCAACAGAACAATCTCCTATTAAGGAGCTTGAAATGGTGAGGCAATCCATCAGAACCATGGTTCAGGCAGAACGCATTCTTCCTTGTGAATCTTTTTTGGATGAACAAGAGACTTTCTGTCAGCCAACAAAAGCAATAAGGATCTTGCCTGAGTTCAGAAAAATTTTAGTTCACCTTAAGGAATGTGGTGTCCCGTTGAATGAAATATCTTCTATAGGGATGTTTGTCTTACATGCTTCACTGGATCATAAAGAATATGATGGAATTCTTGATTTTCTTGGAGTGCCATCTGTGGGCAAAAACTATTGTTGGTATGGGAGATTCATCCGTGACTGCAATATTATGTCAGAAGTTCCCATGGATGTATTCATGGAGCTTCTTTGCTTCTTTGCTGACAACTGTAGAATCATTCCATCTAGACATCTCAACAATGCACCACTTCTCAAGTATGTTGCTTTGAATGGGGAGGTGAGGTCATGTAGTATTTCCCAAGTCAAAAAGGAAGCAATAAAGATGCATTTGATCTTGGAGGCTCGAAAACATGCCTGGATAAATAAATGGAATGTAGAGATGGGATGCCCTAATAATCTCTTTTTCTTGCCCAATGCCACAGTTACTGCTCTTGCAGGGCATGAGAGACATTATTTTTTGAGGCGGTGGTTGGTTAAGATGGGTGTGATTGTCACTTCCGTTTCTCAGTATTGTTTGGCACTTGCAAAATTTGCAGCAGAGAAAAAGGATCCAAAAATCGCAGTTTCACTATCTCATCTTGTTTATCATTCTAAATTGAAGTACTACATAGGAATGTACGAGGTTTTTGACATTTTTCGTTCACTGCCAATTGTTGATAGATCTGGCAAAGTACATATACGGACTAAAACTCTTGTGCCTGCTTCTGGTAGCAATTGGGAGAAGCTATTTGGCTCTGAGAATCCATTTGCAGAACAGTCTATCAAGGTGAAAACTGAAATAGGTGAATCTGAATTTGTTGATGAGTATGTTGAATTGGGGGAGGTCTATACTAAAGCTGCTAACTTTGCTGGCGAATCTGCAACAAAGGAGAAATTCTTGGACTTCCTTGCAAATCATACCGGAGCTTTAGACTTGCCATATATACCACCTCCAAATACAGCATTGCAAGTTGCTTACACTCAATTAACAAGTGACCAGGCTATCCTATTGCTAGATTGGATTCATATTATGATAACTAAAGGGTATAATATGCCTCCAAGGTTCATTGAAAGCATACGGAATGGGAAATGGGTAAAAACACACAGAGGTTTTAGTCCTCCGACCCATTGTTTGCTTTGCAACGAAACAGAGGAATCTACCCTCTTGGAGATGGGAGACATTCACCAACTTTTCCCAATTATTGATCAAGAGTTCTACATGGGTAAAATTACAAAATTTAAAGATGAGCTGGAATTGATTGGGGTACAAATTGGTTCCGAGAATATGTATCAACTAATTATCAAACTCCTGGAAGCCAATGCTTTGTCTTCAATGGGCAGAGAATGGGCAATTTTTCTGTTAAAATTTGTTAGACACTCGATGGTGAACCATATGCTCAATCAAAACTTCCTGAAAGCTGTAAGAGAAGGGAAATGGCTAAAAACAAATTGTGGTTACAACACTCCTGTTGGATCCATTTTTCTGATTTCTGATGCTGTAGCTATTTTACAAATCGCAAGCCTTCCTGTCATTGATCAAGCATTCTATGAGGGCCAGATGGACTGTTTTGCTGATGAACTTAACTTGTTGGGAGTTGTGGTTGATCGAGAAGGTGTTTTCAGATTAATACTAGACAATTTTCAATTTCCAGAAGAGCTTTCTACCTTGACTAGGGACAGCATTTTTCTGATACTTGATTGTATCAAGCATTTGGGACCTGCAGCTTTTGGTGTGTTGCAAAAAATTAGGGAACTACCTTGGATGAAAACTAGTTCTGGCTTTAAATGCCCAACAGAAACCCTTCTTCCCAATCACAAATGGGGTCATTTGTTGAGTGTCGTTCCATTACCCATCATCGATGAAACTCACTATGGAATTGAACTGAAATTATATAAAGCAGAGTTGAAAGCAATAGGGGTGGCCGTTGATCTTGATGGAGTATTTAAGATGCTTTCTGATCAATTTAAGTTTTCACTATCTTCAGGCAGATTAACCAATGTCCATGTAATCTCAACACTAAATTGTATGAAGTGCATGGGCAAGAAAAAGCCATCACAGTTGTTTGAGTTGAGAAGCTGCTTGATGGGGGATAAGTGGTTGAAAACTTCACATGGCTACAAGTACACATCAGAATCTGTTTTGTTTGATTCAAAGTGGGGAACAATTGCACAGTTTGTCAATCTTCCTCTTATTGATGAGTCCTTCTATGGCAATGACATTTATTTGTACAAAGATCAACTAAAGATGCTTGGCGTTGTGGTTGATTTTAGTGAAGGAGCTCATTTTGTAGCACGAGGTCTGTGTTTGCCAAAAGAACCTTCATTGTTAACAGCTGATAGCGCACTCTCACTGTTGCAATGTGTCAAGTCTCTGAGAATGAACTCATCCAGCTTGTTTTTACTCAAAGATTTGGTCGACAAACTTAGGGGAAGCAAATGGATGAAAACCCACATAGGCTATAGATATCCAGAGGAATCCCTTCTATTTGATCCAGAATGGACATGTTACCTTGAAAAATTTGATGCACCCTTCATTGATGAATGCTTCTACAAAAATTTCCCTTCTCTATCTATGGAAGACCTGAAAGCTGTGGGTGTCAAAGTAGATATCGAGGAGGCTTGCAAACTCATTTCCCGGATTCTCAACTCACATACTCAAACTTGTGTGATAATGAGAATATACAAGTTCCTCAATAGGTTCAAATGGATTCAAAGGGTACCCGACCCTAGCCTTCAAATATGGATCCCCGATCCACTTGATCACAGTTGTGGAACGTGGGTGAATTCTCGCAACTGTGTGATCCATGATAGGGACAGCCTTTTTGGCTCACGGTTGCATGCTCTTGACAAGTATTATGAATCTGAATTGTCATCTTTTCTCAGAGTGGCTTTCAGAGTTGCAGAATTTCCTTGTCTTGGTGATTATGTGAAGTTATGGAATCACTGGGTGAGCAGTCATCATGAAATGAGTCAAGCAGAGTGCAGTTCCTTCTGGAAGTACATATCAGAAAATTGGAACTCAGTCACTGAGGAGATTCTTAAAACAAGCATAACCATGCTTCCTGCCTGCTGTCCTCGTGGGGAGACTGTCCAAATCCGACTGATGCAGAAGAATGAAATACTTATCCCAGATGATTTGCAGCTCAGAAGGTTGTTCGCAAATTCGAGTGTGAAGCCAATATTCACATGGTATCCACAGTCTGACTCGTCATCTCTCTCTCCGAGCAAACTGTCTGAAATTTACTCTTCCCTTGGAGTTAGAAAACTTTCCAAGTCTGTACAATTCAATTGGAATTGCCCTTCATCAGTCAGTAATAAATTTGAGGAGGTGGATTCAAAAAATTGTTTAATTGGAAAAGGCTTGATCAAAATTGTTCTGGGTTTTCTTGCCAGTCCTCAGGTAAACATGACAGCAGAGGAAAGGAACAAGATTGCAAACACGCTTCTCGATATTTCAGTGGTTTTGGCAGGGGAACCACTTGAAGTTAGTTACAGATTACAGGTACCTTCACTGGACAATCCATTGAGTGCTAAAACTAGAAGATTGGTGATGTGGGATGACAGAGATTTTCTCAGTACTGCATTCCCATGCCCTAGTGAGTCATCTTCTCCCTTACAAAGTGCAGGAAACAAAGCTACATGTAAAGCATACCTTTGCTAAGAGGCAAACAATAGATACATTTTTGTTGTTTGTTGAGTGTGTTTGTATGGCAGCTTCTCATGCTTGTAACTGGTGACTGCCTACCTCTGTTTTATTGTGGCAGAGCTTCTTAGGAACGATTTTTAAGTCAAAGTTAGGAATTTTTAGCTCTCTAACATTTGTGTCTGTAAAATTATGTTTAGATGATGAATTTGTAAATAGAAAAGAAAATTTTAAAAAATTAATAATAATAATAATAATAAAGAAAACAAAACAAAATGAAATGAAAGATAAGAACAAAATGAAGTGAAAGAATTAAAAATAATGGAGAAAAACAATACAAAAGCACTTTGAATTTTTTTTTACAAAACCATGAAAATGTTTAAATTTTAAATTATTAATATTTATAAGATTTACCATTAATTTGTAATAATATTTTGAAAATATCACTGATGTGATGTTTCCCCCGAAAAGAAAAGAAAACAATAGAATAGAATGTTGACCGTCATGTATTTGATCATGAATACAGACAGTACTGTAACATTAGATTTTAGTATATATATATATATATATATATTAAAAATTCAAATATAAATTTTTAATGTTTCCTAAAAAGTGATTTGTTTTGGAAAATTTTCTCAAAAATAGTTTTTGAAAATAATTTGCCAAACAAGCTTTCTATGTTTACTGAAAAAATAAAAAAATTACACAACCAAATAAGCTTCTGTTCGTTTAAGGATTTGAGAAAGTTGTGGGGAAGAAAAAAAAAAAATTTCCCTGCCTTCTGTCTTTCCCTTCACAATCCCCCTGATGCAAACACAGCCGCAGCGTAGGGTACATAAAAGAAGAATGTAAAAATGGAAAATAAACAGACTGTCTTCATTCTGGGAAAGAACACAACATTAAACAGATAATCTACACCATGGAAAGAGATGTACACAACACTTGGCATATTGAATTACTCAAAAACCAAAAAAAAAGGGAAAAAAAAAAAACAAAAACAAAACAAAAACAAGCAAACAAACAAAATCAAAAAACAATTCCACAAAGCCTACTTCAGCTCAACAGTCCAATCCATCTTGTCCTCTGTAAGCCCCATCTGTAACCCAGTAAGTGCAGAATATAGTTGCTCTGACACAACACCAACTCCGTTGTTTCCATAAGATATCCTGAAAAATATAATAAAGGGAGATAGATTGAGCATTCTAAAACCAAAATAAAGAACCAATCTTTGCCATTGCATTTCAGTGTAGGAGTACAATGATGTACCCACCTCGTTCCCATAAAATACATTACATTCTTCTTTGGCTATTCCCGAAAGATGCCATTCACGTTACCATATGTGAATTAAATTTCATGCCCAAAAGATCACTATACTTTGTTTGTTGAGCCAACTAATATCTAAACTTTAAATTTTATTATTTAATGATGTTAATCATATTAAACAATAAAAATATTTATAATGTCTTTTTTTTTGGGTAGTAGAATGTAAAATAACATACCAAATTTAAATTAACCCTACCAAGAAAAATCACAACAGAATTAGTTTACAACAGGACTATTTCAGCAGAATGGTACAATAACGTAGTCAGTTAATATTAACCCGACCAAGAAAAAGCTTATATTACTTGATGACTAACATCATAATAAGTAAGTTTACAAGTTAAAATGAAACTAGGCAAATGGAAGGAATAGCTGAAAATTTGTTAAAATTATATAAGAAAATCTGTTCAGTAATCAAAAAAGCAATAATTTGTACTTAATGTTATTTAATAAATTCAAGTTGGAGGATGTGATATCTTAACCAAGATCCATTGCATATAAAAATGACCAAGATCCAAGTGGTCGGGAGCCTGCTTGGCCTCCTCATCAGCGGAGGTTCAAATCCCATTAGGCCCATCCCACACACCAAGTTCTTTGCATTCACTTGAATTGACTTAGGTGACTTTACATTTTATCATAAATGAATCTTTTTTAAGAAAATAATGAAAATTTTAAGCTTTTAAGTTCACACTCTTCCCCTCAAAGTTTTTCCCCCTTCATTTGCTTGACAACTAGGTAAAAAAATAAAGGAATTTATATTTTCACATATTGAGGTTGGAAATATTCAACTTGGCATTCCATGTCTACACTTTCTCAAAGCAAACCGTAAAATTACGGATAGTTAAGCACAACTTCAAACAGTGTCACTGTGGATGTTTCAGTGTGTTTCAACAAACCCCCCAAACCCCCGGGCCACGAAAATCCAAGTAGTGGCATTTTCAACAAATAATAATTGCTTCCAATGCATCCTCGGAAAATTTCATATGAAAAACTAAAAATGCAAAATCAGAATAACATTTTACCTTTTACCAAGATAAGTTATGCTGCCCACCGGTGATATAACAACAGCTGTTCCCGTACAAAAAACTTCATCAGCATCAAGTAATTCATCCACTGTTACAAGCCGTTCCTCAACCTACACATTACCATATCAGCATAAGGAAAAAATTAAGTGAGAAGTCATTTGCACACTGAGGCTACTAATCTTTGGAACTAAAGGACTGCAATGGCCCAGAAGAGAAAAAAAGACACATCACTGATTCAAAACGTTGATCAAGTGATTAAACCCAGCCATTTTCATCAGAAAATAATATATGCTATTATGCAATTCAACCAAACAAGAAGCACCTTGAGTTAAATATATGTAAATAGTGATTCAAATATACATGTGCCATATCATAGTCTTTCTAGAGACTCTAATCATGAGGAATGGCCCCACACACCTCATTTTTTTTTATTGTAAAAATTAAGCGAATTCTTAAAAAACAAAAGCAGAAATAATGGGATCAAAAGACGAATTTCATAAGCATCATTATTTTCTTTTGTTTCGTACTCAAAAAAAATATATGGTTTCACACTTTGTTTCCCATAGTTCTTTTGATGGAATATTAATAAAATTAATCCTTTTGGATTATTTACTAAATATATTTCTCATAATGTAAGACAATAACAAATGACGAATCTTGTGCCATATTTTTTTATCTGATTGTGCGTGCTTTTGTTTGATATAATTGCTTATTTTTACAATAAAAAATGACCTTCTAAATAAATATATAAAAGTGTAATTATTATTTAATGAGAAGGATAAAAATGAGAGTAGGTGGATTTTAACAGAATATTAATAAAATTAATCCTTTTGGATTATTTACTAAATATATTTCTCACAATGTAAGACAATAACAAATGACGAATCTTGTGCCATATTTTTTTATCTGATTGTGCGTGCTTTTGTTTGATATAATTGCTTATTTTTACAATAAAAAATGACCTTCTAAATAAATATATAAAAGTGTAATTATTATTTAATGAGAAGGATAAAAATAGAATAAATCATACCATTAGGAAAACTCAATTTTTTTGCAACAAGTTATCAAAAATAGAACACAGTTGTCCATATTGAAATTTAAATGGTAATCTTGCAGAAAAAGTAGTACTTATTGGTAGTTTTCCAAAAATTTAATCCTCATACTAAAGTCCGGACCAAAAGCTAAGTGGATTGCTGAAAAGGGCTAGTTCTGCCTAAGGAGCTAAAAAAACAAGGCAAAATCCTGGTGTTTGAACAGGGGCGGGGCCTAAAATTGGCACCCCTCCGTATTCCATGAACCCATAACACAGAGAGATAACTAACATTATTTTTTGGTAGAAACAGTGACATGGATAAAGATAAGTCCGACAATTAGAGTAAATCAAAGGTGCATTTGTCTAAATCACCTATCTATCAATAATACATGGTTGTACATAAGTACCTGGAATCCTTGGCTTCGAGCAACGTCAATTATACTCTTTCGTGTAATGCCAGGTAGGATGGTCCCTTTTATAGTAGGGGTAGAGATGACATTACCCTGTGAGACAGAATAATTAAAAAATTAAAATCTCACTTCTAGTCTAGATAGATAAAAGAAATAATTGCACTGTAAAGACAACAATTGCATGGTAAAGCCTCGATTCTATTTTCAATCAAACCTTAATTCAGGAAATTATGCCAGAGTCCAACATGTGATTGAAATTGTGCAATCATGGCATCATAAAACCATCTACCGCATAAAATCAAAGGACACAAGAAAGCCCATCTTACACCAAATGGTCATGCATCAAATTTTTGTATGACCACATTAACAAAACACTCACAAAGAAAGAGAACGAAATGATGCTCAAAAGCTTGAACTACAGTGAATGAAAAAAGGAGGTTAACCAGAATAATATATATAAAGGCACCAGACAATAGCTGGTTCAGTAATCAATTTACCTTAACAACAAAAACATTACAAGAGGAAACCTCTTCCAGATATCTCTTGTGAACACAATCAAGGTACAGAACGTCTGTATAACCTTTGGCTTTTGCAACAGTTTGAGCCTTTAATACCTACAAATCATGATCAGAAAGATGAAAAAGATATGTTAGCAACTCCAAAATATAGTCCGAAAAAGAAATCTTGAAGGTGGTCTTCCTTGATATAAATATTAACCATGGCTTATTTTTCCCGATGTTCCACTAGATATTCATTGCAGAACATAACATCGCCCAAAAAAACAGCATTTAGACAAGAAAATAAGAATGCACACTGACAAACGAGTGAATCAGCAAACAAAAACTGGAAGGCTAGCTTACCGAAGCATAGTTTCCTATAGTCTTTACACCTCCGGTACCACCAGGGGTTGCTCGATGCACTTCAGTCTCAACAACCAAATTTATTGGTGCAAGACCTTCCTGCAAGTAGATAATAGATACACAAACATTGAAAGATCTCTGAACAAGATATATGCGAAAGAAATTGTAAGAAACAAACATATACATATATATATATATATAGCAAAGAAAAAGATATATCAAAAATTACCAAATGTAGGGAACTCTATAGAAAAAAGGCCAAAAGATCAGATATGATCATGAAAGCGAAAAATAAATGCAAGAACTCACACAAATGATTTTTAGGTTAAATCAACCATCACAAATTAAAAAAAAAATCACTTCTCTCATTAGAACAGCCTAAAGCATACACCAAATAGAAGGTTTGATGATTCAATTACATTGAACTAAAAAATAAAAAAACTAACAATTCATGGTAAAAATAAATAAATATATATATAAACTAAATTTGAAAGTATAAGTGACCACAACTAGTTTAGAAGCAGATGGCACATTAGTGAAACACCACAATTAATCAAGCATATCTGGGAGAAAGGAAAACCCATCATCCACTCAGAGCATGTGTTGTTTATCAACAAAATGCACTCTAAGATGGTAATGAAAAAGTCAATAAAAGGGTAAAGAAACAATTTTTATCTGACAAAGAAACCTGCACTCAATTGCAAAAGGCACAGAACAGATAAGCAACAAACCTTGAAATAGTTTCCAACAGGCGAAACATAAATCAGAAAGGTGTACTCAGGAGATGGTGCAAGACCAAGAACAGCTCCACTCCCCATAAGCAATGGCCTTATATATAAGGAACCTTTACCAGGAGGGGGAATCTGAAATAATCCAAATAACTTACTAGTTTAACAAGTACTAGTAAATAGCAATAAATTTTCACAATGCAAAATTAAAGTTGCACATTACCCATCGTTTATTTGCTAAAACAGTGGCCTTTACAGCATCCACAAACTGCTCAACTGTTGGTGAAGGCATGCACATGCGCTCTGCACCCATAGTTAACCGCAATGCATTTTCCTCGGGACGAAACAATAAAATATTACCATCTTGTTTCCTGTAGGCTTTCAAACCTTCAAATAATCCCTACACAAACGGAAAAGAAAATTAAAATTACAATGGATGAAACTAAAACAATAACCAAGTAAAATAATAAAGCTAAAATAAAATAAGTCGAGAAGCAACTGTATGATGTTCCAACAGCATATGATATTTCATAGAATTAGTAAACCAAGAATTTGATAAGGTTTTCCATTAGAATTCAATGCAATGACTGAAGCAAGAACAGTATAGTATCGAGTAACATGACAGTCAATCAAAATTCTAGCCAAGATTAATTATAATCCTGGCCGTACATTCTCATAAGAAAAAAACAAAGAAATAACTTGCTACCTCAAGAATCATAATTACAGGAGCATGTTTATAGAAAAACTGCTCCTACATTGTACTTATTTATTCAAATTTCTCAAATCACCAATGAAGGAACAGAAGGAAGACAAAATAGAAACAGGAAACCTGTTACAGGATGGCATTCACCATAATCACAAGACAAAGGAGCATGTTGCACTTTTTGGAAGAAATGAAATGTAGATTATGTGATATGGGGATTTAGTAAACCCACAGTGAAATTTCTAAATTCCATTTTAAAGACAAATAAAGTGGGTGTGGTGGATGCATCCACTCACTCACCATGACATTAACATGCAAACAAATTAAGTAACAATAAATGAAAGAAAATAGCTGTGTTTGGTTATGTTTGCCAAACACATTTCCACCCACTTTTGAAAACGCCTTTTCAGGAGGGAAAATTTGGCTAACCCGGTCGTCCACCAGACGTCCGGCTGGTTGACCAAAATAGCATTCGGTTTTTTTTTTTTTTTTTTTTTTTTGCACCTATTATTTTTATATTATAAATAAAAAATATTTTCAGAATTTTTTTAATTTTTATATAAGCTTTGAATAGAATTTTTGGTTGTGTGTTTGGTTATAAGTTGTAAGTTTTTTAATCAAATAACTTTTCTAATTTTAAAAACTCAAAACTCCTTCCAAAACTCAATTCAAAACTCTTTTCAAAACTCATAACTAAACAAATTTTTTACACTCAAATCATAATTCCAAAACTCACAAACTCAAAATACAACTCTATTCTCAAATCCTATTTAGAAAACTCTACCAAACACTACCAATAGTTGTCCCAAAAACCACATCAACTCATGGATAAGTATCACTAGAAAATTCCATGTCGTGAGTCAAAGAAGAAAGAAAGTCTAATTACAACAGATACAAAATAGAAAGCGGAAAGAAATCCGGGAGAAGTGACCAAAAAGCAAAAGGCAAAGTATGTCCCATGAAAATATTTCAGATTACTAGTTTATATCACCAAAGAATACCAGCACCATGTCGAGGTTTAAAAACTAACCTGCCCGTAATTTAAGACTCCAGCAGACGGGCTCAACTCAATGTTTCCAAAACGTTGCAACTTTCCTTCACTAAAGTTTTGTCCCCGTGAACATTTCATGATATACATATAATCAGTAGGCATAAATGCAAATCCAAGGCTGTCCCAGTCTATGTCAGCTAGTTCATATGATACACCACTGTCACAAAAGAAAGAAGACTAGTCAATATAAGAAATCGGCTTATTAACAAGGAAATAACCAAACATTAAGAATCTACAGATATATAAAAGAAAAAATTAAAAGTAGCATCCGTGTGTTAGTATAACAAACAGAGGCCTATCGAAAATTACCAAGTTTGCAAACCAGCCCTTGAGAATAAAAATAAAATTGGTTGAGAACACGGTGAAATGTGAATCATATAAGAGGGTATACTGGCATTACAGATTCATATAATTTATCCTGATCATATATCATCATGAAGAGTCCATGATGATGCGACCCATATAGCATGACATTAGCACCACACTTGCTGTTAATATTTATTTTTATCAAATTCTGAAAACAAATTCTTTTAACATCAATCAAACAAGCCCCAATATGAAACAATTTACATGTCATTTCAGCGAAAGATATGAAGAGAATTCTAACACAATCATAGTTCTAAATATCGGCCGATACGCTACGTATCGGCCGATACGTATCGGAAAAATGGGGTACCGCGACGGATACAGGCCGATATACCACTGAAATTGAAAATCACAGGAGTATCGGCCGAGTCCCGGTACGTATCGGCCTGTAAGCGTTACACAAGCCGCGACGGGCCGATACTCACCGGTTCGGACCGGTACGAGAAATAAAAAGTTTAAATATCTTTGAAATGATTTTTAAAATTTCACCACCGCGACACCCGATTCCCGATACGTACCGATCGATACTACCGATACCGATACTCCGCGATCGATACCGTTACGTTACCCGATACCGCGATTTAGAACCTTGAACACAATTGCAGGGAAATCGTTCACCTTTGAAGGTTCCAATAATGCACATTACGAATGGGAATTTTAGCTTTAAATAAAATTTTACAATATTGAATGATGAAATGAAGAGCAGAGATTACATTAAATTTAAAGAAGAGAAAAAATTTTAAAAAAACGGAATGTGAAATGGAGGCAACCTTGTGGTGGTTGTGGGGGGGACAACTTCAACAGTATTGTTTTGGTTTCTAAAAGAAGAAGCCATAACAAGGGACTGCCTTTGGAAGTGCACTGGTATGCCCTGCCAAGAAAATCAAATGCAATGCGTCATGTTCAATTCAATTCAAGCACATTCTCGAAATCATCAAATAGTTCAAAATCAGATATAAATGAATTCCAATCAAGGTCTGACTAGTGAAATTTTTGTATCGTTATTAGAATAATGTGGGGGGTGGAAAAGTAGAGACCCTGAGGGACAGAGGGCAAAACTGTTTCTTGTCGATGAAACTCGGAGGAAGAAGAAGCCCGACAGCGTTGCGTGAAGGAGACAAAAGGTAATTGTGGTTTGGTTGAAGCCCCGCGAAGACCGCTCCGCTCTCCATTTTTCTCAAATCTCTCTCTCTCTCTCTCTCTCTCTCTCTCTCAAACAAACCCTTCAGTGAAGAAGAAAAAGAGGAGGCAATTTCGAGGGAACCCTGGTTTTTGGACTACCACATGTATATAAAGAACAAAACAAAACTTCCAAATAGTGTAGAAAATTAGTGGACTACCACATGTATATAAAGAACAAAACAAAACTTCCAAATAGTGTAGAAAATTAGTGGGAAAAATTGAGTGCATTTTAATACATGTAACCATGTTACCCTTTTAAACATACAAAAATAAATAAACATGTTACCAGGACTACAGATAAAGAAGTAAGTTCAACACTACAGATTTAGGGTAGTCACTTGAAATATACGAATATTAACGGGTAAGACGATAGAATTGATAGATGTTATGATTAGGAGGAGAGTTAGTATATCTTGTGTACAAGAAACTAAGTGGACACGTGAAAAAATTAGGAAAATTGAGAATACCGATTTTAAACTGTATTATAATGGTAAGGACAGATACAGGAATGTGGTAGGAATCATAATCGCCAAGGGTCTGATGGAGAATGTAGTGGCGGTCATTAGGAAAGGGGATAGGATTATGTTAGTTAAACTAGTTATTGGAGAGACTATAGTGAACGTTATTAGTGCATACGCCCCTCAAGCAGGATTAGATAATCAGACTAAGAGGGATTTTTGGGAGCAAATGGATGAGATCTTACGGGAGATGCCGTAGGAGAGAACCTGGTTATAAGTAGAGATTTTAATGGCCATGTAAAGATAGATAAACTAGGCTATGAAATGATGCATGGTGGATACGGTTTTGATGACAGAAATGAGACTGAAGAAAGTATCTTAGATTTTGCGTTGGCTTCCGACCTAGTGGTGGCCAATACTATGTATAAGAAAAAGAAGGAGTATTTGATAACTTTTAAGAGTGGGTCAGTTAAGAGCCAAATAGATTACTTCTTAGTGGGAAAACTGGATCGCCTAAAATGCAATGATTGTAAGGTGATTCCTGGAGAGAGCCTGACCTTTTAACATAGAATTTTAGTACTAGATTTATGTTTTAGAAGGCAATACCAAGCTAGGAGGGATGGTGGGCGTCGTAGGACAAGATGGTGGGACCTAAAAGGGGATAAACTAGAAATATTTAAAAATATAATGGATAAGGAAGCTACTTGGGACTTGGAAGATGATGCTAACACTATGTGGAACTCGATGGCCAATTGTATGAGGAGAATCTCAAGGGAAGTGCTTGGAGAGTCGAAAGGGACGGGACCTAGTGCTAGGGAAACTTGGTGGTGGATGGAAGAGGTTCAAGTTGTAGTTAAGGCAAAGAAAGAGTGCTTTAAAAATTGACAGAAGGATAGAACTGAGGAAAACCTTAAGAGTTATAGATTGGCTAATAAGGAGGTCAAAAAAGTAGTGAAAGAGACTAAGTTGAAAGCTTATGATGACCTATACACTAAACTAGGTAGTAAAGAATGAGAGAAGAGAGTATACAAACTTGCTAAGATGCGAGAGAGAAAAATAAGATATTTTAACCAAGTTAAGTGCATCAAGAGTGAGGGTTCTAAGGTATTGGTGAAGGATGAAGAGATTAAGGAAAGATGGAAGAATTATTTTGTGAAACTATTCAACGAGGAATATGGAGGTACAACAATAGGGGAAGAAATGGCTAGTAATACGATAAATCAAGACTATAGGTTTTATCGCAAGATTAGGAATTTTAAAGTGGAGATTGCACTTAAGAAGATGAAATCAAATAAGGCTTTTAAGACCACATGATATCCCTATTGAAGCTTGGAAGTGCTTGGGTTAAAAGGGAGTTGCTTGGTTGACCAGGTTGTTTAGCAAAATTTTGTTGACTAGGAACATTCCAAATGAGTGGAGGAAAAGTATTTTAGTGCCAATATATAAGAATCAAGGAGATGTCTTGAATTGCAACAATTATAGAGGAATCAAGCTAATGTGCCATATAATGAAAGTATGGGAGAGGGTGATGGAACGCCGATTGCGAGATATAATAGAGGTGTCAGAAAATCAATTTGGGTTTATGCCCGGCAAGTCAACAATGGGAGCAATTTATCTTTTGAGGAAAGTAATAGAAAAGTATAAAAAAAAAATAGATATTCATATGGTGTTTATCAACCTTGAGAAAGTATATGATAGAGTGCCCCGAGATATAATATGGTGGGCGTTAGAGAAGAAATGGATGACAAAAGGTTACATTGATGTGATTCGGGACATGTATGAAGGAGTGATGACCACTATTAGATCGCCTGCTGGAGAGACAAATGAATTTCCTATCACTGTTGGGTTACACCAAGGATCTACCTTAAGCCCTTATCTTTTTGCCTTAGTTATAGATGAGTTGACGAGAAATATTCAGGATAACGTGTCATAGTGTATACTTTTTGCAGACGATATCGTGCTAGTGGATGAGACTAGAGAAGGAGTTAATACAAAGTTAGAGATTTGGAGAAAAGCTTTTTAATCTAAAGGTTTCCAGATAAGCAGAAATAAGATAGAGTACATGGAGTGTAAATTTAATAATAATAATAATGAAAGCAGAGGAGAAGTGAAGATTGAGAGTCAAGAATTGCCTAAGAGTAAACATTTTTGTTATTTAGGGTCAATTATCACAACAATGGGGGAGATTGATGCGGATGTGGCCCATAGGATTAAGGTGAGATGGTGTAAGTAGAGAAGTGCGTCGAATACCCACTAGACTGAAAGGTAAGTTTTATAGAATGACTATTAGACCAGTGATGTTGTATGGGACAGAGTATTGGGCAACCAAGAAACAACATGTAGATAAGATGAGTGTGACTAAGATAAAAATGCTAAGGTGGATGTGTGGCAAAATTAGACAAGACAGAATTAGGAATGAGTGTATTCGGGAATGGCTAGGAGTAGCACCGATAGAAGATAAGTTGAGAGAGAATCGATTGAGATGGTTTGGTCACATTCAATAGAGATCAATAGAGGTAGTAATGAAGAAATGCGATGCTGTAACAGTAGAGGGGAGTGTTAGGGGACGGGGTAGGCCTAAATTAACGTTGGCTAACGTTGTAAATAGAGATATGGATTTACTTAATTTGACTAACGAAATGGCCTTTGATAGGGCTGTATGAAGAAAAAGGATTCATGTAGCCGACCCTATTTGATGGGACTTAAGGCTTGGTTTGATTTGGTTTGATTTAAGATATTTAGTCGAAAATGCTAAATGTGTTCAAAACGTAGTTAGTGAGAGTTAACTTTATAAAATTTGATTTACAAAATTTTTAAAAGTAAGTTATTTTTAAGAAAATGATAAGAAATATTTTTAAAAATATATATATTTTATTTATTTTTTGTTTAACCAAACAACAAAAAAATGATTTTACATCAAAACAAACAAACCTTAGTTAAAAAAATAAAAATTACCAGCCATGTTTTGTTTGATTTTTAATTTTTTTTAATATTTTTAAATAAAAATTAGTTTGATAAAATAAATATAAAAAATATATTTTAAAATTATTTTTTTCCTTTAAAAAGATAAAATTAGATAAAAATAATAAGTGATTTTGAATTTTATTTTTTCCATGAAACTAATTTTTAGTTTTTTCAAAAAACATTTATGGAAATAAATTTTGAAAATTGCACCAAACATGCCATTCTCTTTATTTTATTTATTTATCTAAAAAAACATTTAAGGAGTCTCTCTTAACACTCTCTAATTAGCTTGGAAGAATTTTGTTAAATTAATTAGTGTAGTAATTAACCTATTGAAGGAAGTAAGATAAGATGAAATTAACTATAACAAAGAACATGTTATAGAGATACTTTAATGCATCACTGTACAATATATGTTAATTATTAAATATATAATGAAAATATAATTATATTTGAAAAGGGAGGTTCATTGGCTAAATGTCAACAGGTTTCATTTATCTGATTAGAGGTGTGGATAATTTTGTTATTGGTTAGTTTTTTTTTTTTTTCGTCATTGGTTAGTTATATCATGTGTTAATGATGGCATAATATCATTGTAATATCAAATTTTTACTATAAAAAATTAGAGAAATTACAAGCCAGTGTAATTTTTTTTTCAAATGCAAATCAATAATAAATTTTATCAATATTAATAATTAAAATTTTCAATTTTTTTCATGAATTTATAATATTTATTTGAAAGCACCACTGAGTAGTAATTTCCTCTAAAAAAATTTGATAAGTATAATCATATTAATAAGTGTGAAAAATGGTAATATGCGAGTTGTTATTGCGCTCATTAAAAGAAGTATGATCTCATTGTGTGGTAAGTAAAGTTACTTTTAATGATAAGTAGATTTATATATTTTTCATAAAATAACCACATTAAATAGTGTATTTAGTTGTAATATGAAAGTTATTATGGAGTAGTCATTAACTATACATAAGGTATGATCACGTGAAATCAATTTTAATGATAAGTTTATCTTAATTTTTTGTCACATTATACGATTAGTATATTATTTTTGTAGCAATTATAATTAGTGAGTTTCATTGATTAAGTGCTAATGATGTGCTCCTTTTCTCCACAGCTAATATAACTCAATGCCAAGCTATTAAGGAGATCCTAGATGCCTATTGCCTTGCCTCAGGGCAACTAATTAGCTTTATGAAGTCCAACATTGTCTTCTCAGCCAATACCCCTAGTAATGTCTAACATGAGATTTGTGCTTCAATGGGGATCTCTCCAACGAGCCGTGAGGTTAAATACTTGGGGTTTCCATCCTTAGACGTTCCAAAATAGAGGCCTATGGCTATTTGATTGAGAGAGCGGTCCAGAAAATGCAACGTTGGAAACAACATTTATTATCTCCAGTTGGTTGTGAGGTCTTGACCAAGTCAGTGGTACAAACAATACCAGCCTATGCAATGGCTTGTTTCACTTTTCCAAAGAAGTTTTGTGACCAGCTTAATTCCTATATAAGCAAATTTTGAAGGGGAGGGAACCAGATGATACAAGTATCCATTAGGTTGCATGGAACAAACTTTCTGCTACTAAATCTCAAGGGGGCATGGGTTTTCGCGACTTCAAGGCTTTCAACTCTGCCTTTTTGGCTAGACAAGCTTGGCGGCTTCTCAAATGTCCTGATTCTTATTGCTTTAGAATCTTGAAAGGACTCTACTACCCACAGACTAATTTGTTGAATGCCGTGAAGGGAATGAGAGCTTTTTAGGCTTGGTCTAGTTTACTCCAAGGAAGAGATTTGCTTAAGAAAGGGGTTCGGTGGCAGGTGGGCAACGATGCTTCTAACAAGTTTTGGGAAGATGGCTGGATTTCGGATAACCCAAAATTTAAAGTGCAAGGAGCTAGACCTACTACATCTCTGGTGTTAAAGGTTAAGGACATGATCTATCAACCTAGCAAAAGTTGGGACTGTGATAAACTGATAGACACTGTTAATGAGTTTGACCTCTCCAAAATCATCATGATCCCTATCTCAATGGAAGACAAAGAAGACTATGTCATTTTGGCACTTCACAGCTAAGGGGGTATAATGTCCGCAGCGAGTACCAGGTGGCCTTGAAGGGAAATGCTAGGCAAGATCAGTCTTTGGCATCATTATCATTTTCACTCGCAAAAAGGATGTGGAAATTTCTTTGGTCTCTCAAATTGGCCTCGAAGTTGCATCAGTTTTGATAGAGAATGTGTTCGAAAGATTGATGTCTAAAGAAAATCTTTTTCCGCATCGTTGTTCACCATCGAGCTTATGCCCAATCTGTGGGAAGTGTGATGAATCAATTGAGCACATTCTTTTTCAATGCCCATGGGCAAGGGCCATCAGGTTTGGTAGTAATTTGGGGTTACAGATAGATCTAATCCAACTTGGTTCAGCTTCGGAGTGGACTCTATCACTTATAGACCAATGTACTTCTCATGATGATTGGTTGTGCTTGATAGGCAAGGTAATGACTTCAGTTGGTATATCTGGAAAGCGAGAAATAACTGGGTCTTTAATCATAACCCCTCATCTCCTTCACAAGTCTTGGCACAAGTGGGGGACTACTGGCAGGAGATCTCGAATTTGCAGCTCATGGCTCGTGCTCAAAACGGCTCTGTCAGGCCTGCTCTTGGTTCGGTGAGGTGGACACCTCCTGACCAAGGACACTACAAGCTTAATTGTGATGCCAGCTTTGCCAAGGATTGCTCGAAAACATCGTTGGTAGTAATTCTAAGGGACTGGAGAGGCAACCTCGTAGATGGCACCACTACTATGGTCCACGTGTCTTCAACAATTCAAAGTGAAGCCCGAGCAGTTCGAATGGCCTATGCCTTTTCTCAAACCCTCAATTTCTCACAAATTCAAGTGGAGAATGGCAGCCAATCTGTTATCAAATCGAGAGTTTTTGAGCTAGTGCCCCCATGGGATTGTCAGGCTATCATCCATGACATTCATTCTGCCAAATCCAATTGCCTCCTCTCTTTCCGCCACCGAGGGGCAAATCGGCTGCTCAGTGGTTAGCCTCTCGCAACCTTAGAGGCATGCTCCCTCTAGATTGGGTGTCTAACCCCCCTGCAGATCTTATTTCTATCCTAGCTTCGAATGTTTTGTTAGCCGTTTTGGCATTTCCATGTTCAAAAAAATAAAAATCTTACATGCTCAAAGGTTCACTTCCTCTAGATTGGGTTAGGAATTACCCTCTTCATCTTTTAGCTTTGTTGAGCTTTGATCCTCAAGCCTCCTTTGAAAACATGTTATTTTAATAATTTTTTTAACTTTTTAATTAAAATGAGATAAAAAAAACAATTAATATGTTTGAGATGACTTTTGACTTTTTACCCAAAAAAATTTTTTTTGACTTTTTGATATAAATAGTTGACTTTTTAATTTTTTTATTAACTTTTTAATTTTTAATCTAAAAAATTGAGTTGCCACCTCAGTTAGCTTAAAAGCTAACTTCTTTTTGACTTTTTAAAAAAAATATATACAAAAAAATAAAGAAATAATGTAACTAAAAAAACTAAACGAGAGTTTTTGAGCTAGTGCCCCCATGGGATTGTCAGGCTATCATCCATGACATTCATTCTGCCAAATCCAATTGCCTCCTCTCTTTCCGCCACCGAGGGGTAAATCGGCTGCTCAGTGGTTAGCCTCTCGCAACCTTAGAGGCATGCTCCCTCTAGATTGGGTGTCTAACCCCCCTGCAGATCTTATTTTCTATCCTAGCTTCGAATGTTTTGTTAGTCGTTTTGGCATTTCCATGTTCAAAAAAATAAAAATCTTACATGCTCAAAGGTTCACTTCCTCTGATTGGGTTAGGAATTACCCTCTTCATATTTTAGCTTTGTTGAGCTTTGATACTCGAGCCTCCTTTGAAAACATATTATTTTAATAATTTTTTTAACTTTTTGATTAAAATGAGATAAAAAACAATTAATATGTTTGAGATGACTTTTGATTTTTTACCTAAAAATTTTTTTTTTGACTTTTTAATATAAACAGTTCACTTTTTAATTTTTTTATTAACTTTTTAATTTTTAATCTAAAAAATTGAGTTGCCACCTCAGTTAGCTTAAAAATTAACTTTTTTTTGACTTTTTAAAAAAAGTATATACAAAAAAAATAAAAAAATAATATAACTAAAAAAACTAAAAAGCCCAAAAAACTGACTTTTAACCCAATTGCCAAAGTAGGCCATAGTCCTTGGACATTTACTCATTACCCAAAAAACCAAAAAAAAAAATTCAAAACCAAAACCAAGATGTTTCAATACATGCGTCTCTCGTGCTCCACGCGGATTCCCAGCTTGAGCTGGGAGAGGATTCCGGAATAAATTCATGTGGTCCTTGTTGGCCTACAAATAATTATTCAATAATCCCCAAAACCATGTTTATTCTCGACCAATAAAAAATTACAACATCCATTAAGTAAATTATTATTCATCTTTTAATTACTTAACAAAAATGAATCACTATATTACGCTCTTAAAATTTCTCAATACATGATTTGTTTGGAACACCACGTAAGCAAATAGCACACATGATACTCTGAAATACACAATAATTATCCAGCATATTGACACATTTTTATTAGATAATCCAGTAAAAAAATGATCCACTTAATACACGAAAATTTTCATTTATCGAGAATATTCCATAAATAATATCATACGATACTTCAAAAGTGTAATAATTTTTTCATGAAATATATGCACTTCCTAATTTTTCTCAAAAAAGTCACCATCTTATGTTTGCTTCCTGCAATTGTCTATCCCCAGTCCCACTGTAGACTACAACAACAGTAATATTAGTTGTAATCAATGATGACAAATGAGCTAGTAAACAAAACATAAAATCCGCTACCAAAGCCATGTTCCTCTATGTACAGGAACAATTAGTATTTAGTGGGTTACAGCATTTGAGAGAGAGAGAGAGAGAGAGAGAGAAGCAAATTCAATTTACTGAAACCCAACACATGTAAATAAACTGAAATGGGTACACACGCCGCTACAACTTCACATGGTAAAATTGCATAATGACTTGCATTCACCCGTAGAAACTACCTAACACTCTAGAAATGACAGAGCATACAAACCCACAAGCCAGAACAAAACCCTCCATCTTACAAATGCCACTATACTCGCTAATAAGAATCTCCATGTTACTAAAAACTCACTTTAGACAACACTCCACACAGATAGCGCCATTGCTAGGACAGAAAACTTACAGGTCCCATAGATATCATGCTGAACTATGTCATTTACATGTTAGAGTTGCAGTTAAATATGTCACCGGCTGTAACAAAAGAACCCCCGCATGCCTATACTGCTGACTTTTGTGCTGCACTTGAAGAGCACATCTATTAGAATTCTAGATTTCACAAAGTTAAAGGGACGAGCAAACGAAGAATATCATGATGTTCTTCTAATAAAATATAAAATATTTATATATATTTGATCAAGCAAACAGACCTTTACAACTGCTGTTTTGATCTTGTCTTTTTTCCCACTGTTTGTTTCGCCTTCCCATTTTCATCTGACTTGGAGTTGCAATGATCTTCAAGCTTGTCCTCACTATCCTTGGAGATGACTTCATTTTGGTACTACAGAGTTAAAAACATACAAGAATTCTTAAACAACAGCAAAACACGAAATAAGATAAGAAGACGAAAGCAAAATAAATACGACCAGGGAAGCAGCATCCATAGATTGGTGTCCACACAAGTCATTTGTTTATCTCAACTATGAAATCGTCTAGGATGTGACATTCAAGTATGCTTTCGTTTATCTCGACTATGTATATTATCCCTAATAATATACACAAGTCACTTGTTTATCTTAGACTATAGATCAGTGTCCACACAAGTCGTTTGTATTGTCAATATCCTATACAAACAAGTTGCATAGAAACTTCATATTACCAAATGAAATAAATAGAAACTGGACACTAATAAGTCATCTGTCCTATGTCCTAAAGTTTGGAATGAAACAAATTGGATATGTAGCCACACAAATGAACAATGGCAACAAACCAAGAACCTTACCAGAGCCTATGTAACACTGGTTTAGGTTAAAGAAATATTTCAATAGCATGAAAAAACAGGTTCAAGCTAGGGATATATGTTCTGAGCAACATTATTTAACCAACAGACAATTCTATTGTTGGATTTGCGGAGTTTGGACGCCTTATGCCATGAACCTCTTCATCACGAGAGTAACCCTCACCCCTTGCTCCAGCTAATTCTATATAAGATGCACTTCTATGGTGAAAAATGCTAATTTATTTCAATTTATTAAAATTGATTTTCCATAGTCCAATTGGGTTAAAATATAGTTTAAACACATGAAGCATGTTTAGTTAATGAATAATGCTACATGCACTAATTGATATACCAATTAGTATACTAATAGATGATGTGACATAATTTTAGAGGTTTAGATATTTGTAATTTATATAATAGGTGGGGTCGGTAATAATATCATAAGACATGTTGGTACACTAGTTAGTATACCAATTGATGCATGTAACAGTAACACCACCGTTAGTTAATTGAATCAAACTAGCGGCAGCACAAATCTAGCAAAACGTGTTAATTCGTAAGTAGGATCAAGCTAAGAAGAAAGTATTTTTCAATTGAACTATTATTCCAGCAACAACCTTGCACAGAAAATTGTACATCCTACATTCACAAATGTCAACATCATCCAATGTGATTTCTACTATGGCCACTGGCCAGGAGCATACCATAGCTCTTGCTTTAAGCACACTCAAAAAAATAATCTTAATGATGTGTTTGGTTGGAGGATTTGAGCAGTGATTTGGAAAAAAAAAAGAAAAATGTTGTGTGAAACTACTCTTTCTAAATCCCTTTCCAAATCCCCCAACCAAACACAGCGTAAACAGGAACAACACCAAACTATTTACCCATGGTTAGGAAAGATTTCAAGCATCTTGTAAACAGATGGAATGATCATGACCTACCATCAGATTAAAAATTACAGTAATTTAAATTTGTGCAGATGGCAAATGTGAAACACCCCTATCATATCTTAATATACTTTTTCCTAGCATACAATTCATACCCTACCCAACTTGCTCATGCTAATGCTAGCAAGCATTAGAGACAAGTATGTTTAAACAACTCAAGGTTCATGTGAGGGACATGAAAACAAAACCACCCACAAGATCACGATGACAAACAAATCAAATCGAGAAGCTATTAAAATGTGTCAACAAGCCATGTAAAATCATTTATTCAATATGAACCAAAATAAAAAGGTGCAGGAAATATTTTGAAATTAATGATCACCTGACTGTCCTCAATGACTCTTCCACCATCAACCGCAGTTACTTCACGAATAGTAATTATTTTATCTATATAGACTGTGGTCTCCTCAGCAACTCCCAGAGTTTGGTTCACTGACATCAATGCATGCTCGTCTTCTGGTGCATTTGGTTGTGCGGATAACACACTAACAATAGATAGATAAATTAATACAATTGTAAAAAACCAAACTAGCAAAAGTGGATTTAACTGATTGCAAAAAGTTGTCACAATCATACAGATACAATTAATAAGTTTGAACACAAGAGAATTTAATCGTATAGGACACTACCGGAGGTTACTGGTCTCTTCTGATGGTGTTACATCAACATCATTTTGCTGCTTCCTTTTCTTGTTACTCTGTGTGCGCTCTAGCAGTGTATCAGCACACCGTTTAAGCCATGAGATAGGAGCAGAGACAGGAGGAGAAGAAATATCTGTTTCTTTTTTAGAAGACAGATCAAATCCAATACCATCTATTTTGTTTTCTGAATCCAACTTAGCATCTTGTACAGCAGTCTGCTGCTTCAAAAATCTTCTTGCAGAATTTTTTTTTCTGTTAGATTGTAAATTGGATTCTTGAATCTCAGATGCAGTTACACAAACTGGGGTAACTTTCACATCCTCCATCTTCTTCATCTGCTCGATCTGAGCAAGAATCTCTTCTCTATCCACATGCAATAGCTCCCTTTGTTTCTCCAACTTCTGCCTTTGCACCTTAAGTTCTTCAATGGTATTATTTAACTCCGCCCATTCCTCGTCCCTTCGTTCCCGGTCCAAATTGATCTCTCTTCTCTCAGCATCAAGCTTTTGCATTTCCAAGTTAATTTGTTCCATTTCCTTTCCCACTGTTTCCTGAAGGGAAGCTATATGCTGAAGCTCTTTCTTCTTTTCTTCCTCAAAGGCCTTCTCTTTTTCCCCAAGGTAACTTTCGATTTCTTCACGCCTTTTATTAAAACAGTTCTCTAGCTCCCTCTTCTGCATCTCAATATCTAGCAAGAAATCCGCACGTTCTTTCTGAATCTTGCTGAACCACTCCGAACGCTCGTGCTCAATTTCACTCATGAAGGCTTCCCGATCACGAGAAAGTAAGTCAGCGTCATGTTTATACTGATTCAACATTGCATCCTTCTCCAATTTTAGGCAATCACGCTCATCCTTGAGAAACTTAGAAATTACTAGTCTCTCCTCAGTAATACGTTCTGCTTCCTTTCGTAATTCTTCTCTTTTCTCGTCAATCAATTCCCACTCAGTTTCAAACTTTGCCTTCTCTGCTTTCAACTCATCTGCCTGAACATCAACTTCTAGCTTCTGGGCTCTGATAGTATCAATTTCTTCTTTAAGTCTCATTTCTAATACCAGTAGTTCATTTGTTTCACTTTTCATGGCCTCCATTTCCCCTTCTGCACGATCAACTTGTTTCTTTCTGTTGTCCAGTAAATCCATAGACTTCTGTACCTCCAGCTTCAAGTTGTTGGTCTCTTCTTTTTCCCTATGCAGAAGGGTTTTCATCGATTCAACCTCTCTTTCAGCAGCAAGGAGATTTCTCTCTTTCTCATCGAGTAAATTTACCCTCTCTATCAAATCTTTTTCCTTATCTGCCAATACCCTTGATTGAACCTCCAAGTCATGTTCTTTTTCCAAGATTATGTCCTCCCGTTGACTAAGGTCCACCTCCCTCAACTCCCAAGCACGTCTCTTGGTCTCGATTTCCTCTTCCACCAATTTGCGCTTTATCTCCAACTCTGCTTCAAATTCAGACTTCCTTGCTCTCAAAGCAGCTTCATGATTAGCTGTAACTTGTTGAATTCCATCCTACATTGTTCATCAAGATGCATGATTAGAAAAGAATTGCACATAATAAATAAAACTTGTGTGATTTTAACCATAGCAATGGTCTTAAAATATTGAATGATGCCGCAGTAAAAACGCACCAAAAACATCAGCAACCACAATATGGATTTAAGTCCACTAACACATAATCAACTAGCATGATAGAGATTGACAGTGAAGGCAAAGGCAAACTCACTGATTCCTTCCTGGCAAGTTTCTCCTGCACAACAAGTAGCTCTTCTTCTCTCCTGTTCAGCTCGCATTCCCTTTTGATAACAGCCTGTGCTCAAAAGAAATATTGCATAAGTCACCATGTGTTAAAGCAAAGTAGTAATCAAGCAAAGGATATTTGCAATTAACGTTATTAAATATAGACAAAAATCAAAATCAAAAGAAAGTGAACATACCTCCTCCCTTGCTGACAATGAAGCTACATTTAGCTCCAGATTGCTTCTCTCCTCATTTAGGGCTCTAAGTTCTTTCTCAATGTCTGCTTTTGAAGACTCAAACTCTTTCTCAAGTCGATTTAAATCCTGAGATCTATTAGAAATGTAGTCCTCCCTTTGGTTTAGCAAAGCTTGTCCATCAAGTAATCTTTCTTGCGATTGCTGCAGAGTTTTCAGCCTTTCACGTAAAGATTCCCTCTCAAGAAGGATCTCTTTTTCTTTAGCATCACAACTAAACCATTACGAGAATGCAAAAAATCATAAGTTCCAGACACCAGGTCACCCCTATTTAATTTGCATGGGAAAAGACACAACACACACATGAAGAAGTAAATAAAGCAAGAACTCAATAGGTTTTGAAACCAAATTACAGTTAATTTGAACAAACTTTTCAACAAAAAAACCCTGACACATGCATGGCATGAAAGAGACCAAGGCTACATAAGATAGGTATACTTTGGGGGGGGAAAGATATATAAGGGGACTTCCACTCTACATTGATGATCAAAGTGATTGATCTTCAATTATAACTTAAAGGCACAGCAGTTCTGCAATGCTTTCCATTCAACGACGTTCAAAATAATTTTCTTTTCTTTATTTTTTACTTTTTTGTTTATCTTCTAATTATTATACATTACATACCATACTTTTGTCTGTTTGCAAGTGACATGCAGCTATCTTCAAGTTCCTGGCCTCCTTTTCAAATAAACCTTGGTTTATTATTCTTGGCAAATAGGCCCATGACATATTCACATTACAAAAAGAACAAGGGAAATAAAAGACATATCTTTGGCAGATAGTGGCATGATGATGAAGACAAAAGAGTTATTAAAGACATACTCAGACTTGAAAGAGATGATACGCCTTCTAAGATCATCTTCACGTGCTTCCACTTCATGTAACTTTCTTTCAGCAGCACGGTGATACCGGTTGGTTTCTGCTTCTAAAGATTCTGCTGCATGCATCTTTGTTTCAGCCTCAGAAAACTTTTTCTGAGCATCTTCTGCCATACTTCGTGCTTCAGACAATTTACTCTCAGCTGCAACTTTTGCCTCAGCACATTCTGCACGCATCTCATGCAATGCCTTCTCGATCTACAAAAAAATCCATAATTAGGAACAAAGGCAATAATGAAGCACATGGGAAAAGACTAATTAAATAAGCCTACATTTGCAACAACACACTCTTTCTCAATTCCAAGAGCCTTCTTCAGATTCTCCTCTCGTGTCTTGGCTTCAGCTAGAGCAGATGAGTGTGCAGCTTGATCCCGCTTATATATTAATTCGGCTGATTCAGCAGAGGATTTGACTTGCTCATTCTTGGAAATCCACTCCTTTCTTTCCAAAATAAGAAGACCCATATGGTGTTGATGGTCATATATCTACAACAAATTAAGATGGCCAAATACACGCTTAGCCATGGCCCATGAAAGTGACAACAAACAAAAATGTAATGCCTATGTAGATTAGATTAAGAAAATTCTGATTGATCCATAAAACTTCCAAGCAATTCACATTCACTTACCAAACTACTTATGTAATTCACAAAATTATGACTAACCATTTTAACAGGCTATCCAAAAGGACATGAACAGTTTCCTGCTCATTTCCCCTTCTTCAAAAAATTACATATAAAAACAACACATGCTCTGAACCTGTCTAATAATACAAGGATGTGACCAAAAATAAAAATAAAACAAGGGTCTTGCTAACAAGTGGCCATGAAACACAATAAAAAGACCCCAAAAAATTGAAGAAGTCGATACACTTTTTTGAAAAAATAAAATACGCTTTCTAACATTTGTACCTATTTTCAACACACTTGTTTACCTTAATCCCAAAATATTAAACGATGCCCCACTAATTCACTCTAGCATTTGCCATAAAATATAATAGACTAAAATAGTTCTGCATCTTCTATTCTTTTATGGTTCTTTCAAATGGCTAAGACGCAACAAAATGCCCTATCAAAGATAACTACAAATCCAACTCCAATTCAGGAAAAATCAAAAACTCAAAATCATGATCCTCTTGCACAACAAATACAATTCCTATTTCTGTGTGTTTATTTCTCACATAATGATCAATCAATTGCGATAACGAAAACAAAAGAAGAAATATAAAAATATGAGAGAATTGGAGATACCTCAGCTTCGAGCTTGGCGATATAAGCTATAAGAGCAGCCTTGTCTCGCCGTTTGATGGACTCTTCGTCGAAGCCGGAGTCGCGAAGGCGCTTGGAAATCGGTTCATCGGGAGGGGTCCGAAAAACCCTCGAACCAGGAGTCAAAGGACTCGGAATAACGGACAACGGCTCCGATTGAGCGCTCGCCATTGTTTCACCTTCAGATGAAGAAACCCTAGAATAGGATTCTCTTCTCTTAGAAGCTTGGAGAGACTTTTTTTTTCTTTTTTTTTCCCCTTTTTTTTGTTTGGATTGGAGACTGGGGCTGTGATCTGTTCTGCAAGTGCAAGTAGTGGGAGTCCGGGACTCCCGACTTTCCCCTGCCTTTTCTTTACTTTCTCTCTCTCTCTGGAGCTCTTACCTTTTTTTATGCGTTCGGTGACAAAAGTGATTGGAATTGATTTGAATTTGAAAATGTGATTTTCATTAAGAATAAAAATAAATAAAAAAATGGTGTGAGAAATGTTTAAAAAATAAATAAATATATATCAAGTTGAATAAGAATGAAAATAAACTGTATAAATAAATAAAAAGAAACTTGAGATCTCATTCTTTGGCATATTTTCTTCGTACTAGTTGGACCCCACGCACTACGATTCTACGAATACATTAACAGAGTGAAAATAAGTCACACTTAAAATCAGTAATCTATCAACTAACAAAGACTTAAAATAAAATTTGTAAACATTAAGGTGACAAGAATACCTTATTTCAGATATTTAAGAAAGTAAAATTTTTCCATTTTTTCTTTTTCCTCTTTTAATTCTAGATAGAACATCCCATGGAATCAAAATTTGGATCACGATTAACCTATGTTGTTTAAGAATTGGAGTCTTTCAAGTTTTGACTGGCCTTCACCACAGATAAGATATACTCCAAAAATCTTCCAACACTTGCATTCAACAAGGATGATCCATACGTAAAAATTGTCTTAGGATCAAACACTATATACCCTGCCATCATTTGTCACTACAAAAGGTTAAATATTCAAAATGAAATTATATAGCACTACAAACAAAACAAAAGAATCAGATAATAATTTCTTCAACTTATATAATCATATACAATTAGATAACATATTTGTGCAAATTAAATTCAATGAATAGTTACAGACTAGCAAATTTAGCTTTTGAGATTTTTAATTACATTTTTGAATGACCTCATCTCTTCGTAGAGAGATAGATCAGTAATGACCAAGTTATTCATCGAGTTAATTTTAAATATAAAAAAAAAAAAAAAAAAAACTACGCATATAGATTCATTGCTAGATAATCCACAATATTATCCATAAAGGCGAGAAAGCAAGCAAGGCATAGTTGGTGGAGTCCATTAAGAAAGAGAAGCATGAAAATGGAAAGGAAATAGATTAAGAAAGAGAAGCGTGAAAATAGGAAGTAAATAGATGAAGTAACAGATGAAACCAAATATTACATCTAGGCCTTTCATTTTTTAATTAATTTCTTTCTCTTTTCAACTGGGTTTGTGTTTAATTACATATACATAACAATCAATTCACTATCTTCCCAATTGCATTTGGTAACTTTTTATCTGAGAAATTTAAGTGATTAAGATGAGGAATATAAAAGAAATTAGAGCACTAAAAGTACTTTTATTTTTCTCTATTTTTGGTTTTTGTTTTTTTTTTTTAAAACTTAAGTTTGTCCAAGAAATGTCATTATCACCAAAAAGGAACACATCACATGCAAAAAAAAATTCTTATGCAAACAACTTTGATAATTTCATTTCATCAGGCTTCAGCTATAGGATTTTTGCTTCTTGAATTGGGTTTATCATATTTTTGGAAATGTCAATTCTTTTGACATTGTTTGGTTTCAGATTAGTAAGAAAATTTCTTCTTGTATTCTTAGATCAATTTTTCATCACTACCAAGAGAAGGATACAGGTCTAAAGATGCCAATGTTGATTACTTAAAATGACAATTACTATCCTTAAAGAGATTCTTACCTCTACACTAATTTATAAGTTACATTTTATTTACCCACCGATTAACAATACCCTCATTTTTAATTGGTTACAGAGTGGATCTAGTACTTCAAATGAGTGGCACATGATTCTTCTTCTTATGCTTCTTTTTCACTTTTTTTTTTTTTTTTTGGGCGGTCAAAGTCTTGTACATTTTTTTTTGAGCGGTCAAAGTCTTGTACAATTCAACAACTCTCCTTGTTTATTTCCTATTGTTCAACCATATAGTACTTAAATATCAGGAAATAATCTATAAAATTACATAATGATACACAATTAATCCAACATCATCTATACACTTCTTCCCTTACTCTCAACCTCCACGTAAACAAATAGTACTAATTTTATTGATTCATTGTGACAACCGTTTCCTTTATTAAGCAAATTAATTAGATTAATTATGTGCTTAATGTTAATTGTGTGATTGAGTGGTATTGAGTGTTATTGTTGTGCCATGTGACTATTCGAAATGTGTTATCGTGGGCAGATAGGTTAAAGTGAATATTAAACATATTTGATTCATTAATTTTAACAAGTTAGAATTAAATGATGGAATAGGAATTAGAGCCTAATCCACATTGGTATAATTCAAATTAGTGTAAGTAAAATTTCGCATCATAAATTACCTTATTCATGATTATATCTGTTTAACGTAGAAAGATCTATTCATGTTTCCGTTCCGATTTGCGAATTGAAGGCCTTATCGGCATCCGATTTAGAAATTGACTTGAGATATGTGTTATTTAGGATTTTTAGAAATTTACGGTAGGTTCAATTTAAATTTGATTCGAAACCAAATAATTAGAGTAAATAACATCAATTAATTAGTCATTAAGTGGATTTCCTAATTAAGCCTATATAAGGCAATTGTTGAATTAGGGGCCATTCTTGCACCCTCATTTCCTATCTTGAGAGAGAGCTAACATGAGGGAGAGTGAGAAGAGTGAGAAAGAAGTCAATTTAGAGAAGAATTAAGCTCAAACTAAGGGAATTTGCTAGCAACTTAGAGGAAATAGAAAAAATTGACTTGAAATCTCAAAGGCATAACAATTTAGAACTCAATTGAAGATCTAGGTGAGTCATTGATTCCTAATCCTTGTGTTTAAGTTGGTAATGAAGAGAATTCAAGAAGTTCTTGTGTCAAAGTATGAGAATTGAGTTAGAATTAAGAGCATTCAGATCATATCATGCATGCATGGTCATTTCATCAAATTTTGAGCTTGATTTCAAATAATGTTTACATGCATGTGCTCTTTTTGTCTTTGTTTTAAGAGTTCAACATGTTTTTGTGCTTAACATTTCATTTGAGCAAGTTTTGAAAGCTTTGGAGCCAAGATACTTCATATATGTTATGCTTATGATGTACCAAGTTTGATTTTACACAATTCTTAAGCTTTTGGGCCTTGATTTGGTGAAATGGTTTTGAATTCATGATGTTTGACAAGTTTAAACATGTTTTCTTAAGCTTTTGGTCCAAAAGAACATGCTTTGTGGCTTTGAATTCGAGTTATGATCTTGGGAGTGCAATCTGAAAATTCCAGAATTTGCACCCTCAGCTCGAGCGACAGAACTTGTGCTCAAGCGACCACTCTGTGATCTTGCTCTTATGCTCGAGCGACCAGAAGTTCGCTCGAGCGTGAAATGCATGCTCCTAGAAGTGCACCTGTTTTATAACCCGCTCGAGCGAGAATAGATGCGCTCAAGCGAGGACCTCAGTCATATGCTCAAGCGAGCCTCGAGCATGTATCGAACGGAAAAATCTAGCAACCAACACTTTTTCAAAGTTTGCAGACCGCTCAAGTGAGGGAAGTTACGCTCGAGCGACCACTCACATTTTTCATGTTCGCTCGAGCGAAGAAAGCTACGCTTTACACTCGAGCGGGGACCTTGTTTTCAGAAATTTGACGGAGTGTTTTTCAATGCATCTTGACATCCTCATTTCATCCTAGACATTTCTAGGCCAAGTTTGGGTCACCATAATGGGAATAAGGAGTAAAAACTCACAAAGAGCAAAGTGAAATAAGTTACATATTATCTGAGCGTGTGTTTCAACTGTATATTGTTATGTGTTTGTGTAGGTCGTGCTACAAGATAGTTGAATCGCCTACTCAATCTATTTTCCTTGGAACTAACTGTGAGTAACAATGTTGTAAAGTTATGTTTAATTATAATTATTTTATGAATGATTAATTGTACTGCTTTCTGAATGATATTGTTTACTGAATAAATGCTTGTCCTGTTTTATAAATTGTACTCGTGGTATCATAGCAACTGACTGTTACTACTACTGCTACTACTATTGTTACTATTACTGTTACTGCAACTGCTACTGTTACAAAGATCTCTGTCAATTCCAATTCTTGGAACTACTGTTACTGTATTGATGGCCATCAATTGACTGTTCGGTCTTTTAAGACCTACTGTACTATTCTGCTATTGGATGTACCACGTATGACTGCTATAATTACCATATGACAGATATGATATGAAATATGAGATATTAATCGATCAAATGATCTACTAATGCAATTGACTATTTAAAATACTGAAAGGATATTCATTCTTAACCTCTTTACATATTTGTTATTCATTAGGCTTTAGCTCACAATTTATTATATATGTATATAGGCGACCAGGCACCAAATCAAGGCTACAGGCATCGACCCGAACTCATGTTTTGTCAAGCCAGCTTTTGTGCCTCATAACGAGGTTCCGAAACCGTACGAGTCAAGGCTTTTGGGTGATGCAAATCCGCCTTTTTGTTTTTGCTAAGTGTAAAGAATGTTTAAGATTTTTGTTTACACAGTTTTAATGATGGAATTAATTCCCTAGCTTGCATATAGTCTTATATATCTATTGTTTGGCATAAGTAGCTATATATATGAATTTTTATTTTCATTCAGGTCATTACAGCTCATTGGACATTATCTTATTAGTGATTGGCTTCCACCAGCCCCTTTTATATTGTATTATTCTATTATTGTTATTATTGTTAAGCAGGCCTTTGGTAATTACGGATTACTGCCCGGTTATGACACTAAACTTATAGGGGCGGGTTTGGGTCGTGATATTCATTATGCCCATATTTTTGCGCAAATTAATTACTTGATGAAAGTTCTAAACATAGCTACGATACATGCGACCAGAACTGTGCTGCTTGTTTTAGCAACAGACAGTGCACCGAAGAACTTGACTTTCTGCTTAAGTTCCAAACATAGCTCAAGAAATGTCCAGCTGCTTGAAGCACTAGCTCTGTTCCAAATACACGACCTACATACTCTCTCTCTCTCTCTCTCTCTCTCTCTCTCTCTCTTCTTTTGGAATTGTTAGGATTCTTTTTTTGGCTGTTAAATATTTATATTCTCTGTTTTCCCTTGGTTTATTCTTTAAGAAATCCCAATTTTTTTTTTCTTTTTTTTTCACGATAACAAATTTAGCTACCTGCAACTCACAATTAACGATCAATGGGCTCACCAAAGGCGGCAAACCATTAAATCCTACATTGCTAATCAAAATAAGCATTTTGCA